GTCTTCAATCATTTAATCTTGTGCTCCATTTGCTAGAAGTATGTGGGCTAGTGGACTATTCTACCTTAATTTTCTACCCTTAGTTATTATCAACTCATCCCCCCCCCTTTTATATATATATATATATATTTTTTTTCTCTCTTAGATTCCTTGCCTACTTTGTGTGTTTCATTGAATATAATAATTCTTTCTCATGCAAAAGGATTTATTGTAGGCAAGGCCACTGTTCGACAAAAAAATTCAAAACTATTGTCTAGGAAAGAAGTTTACTGCATTTATATTTGGGATGGATGTGTAGTGGTGGTAGTTTCATGCATTTATACAAAAAGAGCACTAAAGTTTTAAAAACATCACTATTGTAATGCCCCAAATTTAATTACTCGAATATTATTGTTTAATCTCTAATTATAGTCCATTTCCATAATAATAATAAAAGCAAAAGCAAGAATAAATAGTTAAACAATAAATGTTCTCTCTCGTATGTATGGTGATAAACTGTTCAACTACAATAATTTATAACATGTGCCCTTAGGCTTACACAGAAGAAAATAAAACAAAACAAATAAATAAAAAGGGATCAACCCTAATTACACTGTAGGAATTTTTGGCATTAGCGACGTTTAAAAAATGCCACTATAAGCCTTAGAAACGCCGTTAAAGGATACAGTGACGTTTATAATTTGTGTCGAGGATACGACCACCGTCTTAGGTATATGACGTTTGTTAAACGTCACTAATGACTTTAGCCGGCGCTTTTTAAAATGCCGTAAATTTCAAACATCCGTTATGTACAAACCGTTATAGTTAAACGCTGACGTAATATGACGACATTTAGTGACGTTTTTGAAGAAACGCCATCTTTTCCGTTACAGGTAGACACTGACATCATATGACGACATTTAATGATGTTTTTTTCAAAAACGCCATCTTTTCTCCTTATTTTAAAAAAAAAATAACACTGCTATTTATAGAAAGAAAAAATATAAATAAATTTCATTTGAACTCACTAAATCTGTAAAATAATGCTTCAAAAAAAAAAAAGAAAAAAAGAAGCAAAGTAAGGATTCAATTGTCAAATTGCACTACTAGCTAAATAAGGTCAAATCTAAAAGTCAAGGATTCTATACAAAAACACATAAATTAAAAATAAACCAAACAAGTTTAATTCCTCTTCCATCATCTTCCAGATTGCTAAAATTTTACATTTGACAAACAATAGAAGAAAAATTGTAATATTTCCTACCTATTTATATTTAACCACAAACCATAGCCCAAAAAATGTTACAAAACCATCAAAATATTGGATAACTCATTCATGGGCCAATTGCTTATTTCAAGGAACAAGCTGGCCAATGCTCCTATAAAAAAAAAACACTGGAATCAGTCATAAAAAAAAATAAAGAAACTAACCCAAAATATATATATATATATAAAGTTAGCAAATTATAATCATTGTCAATAATAAAGTTAGCACATCAATCGCAAGCCAGATTCAAAACTCTCACCTCCACTTGCAAGCACCATATTCAAACTTCATGTTCATCACATAAATACAGATAGTTCAACACACTATCCACATGTTACCTATGTAATGAAACCATTATAATTCCAAAGCAATGACCATAATAGAACCATATCACCAAATCCAATCAAACCAGAAGGCTTCTGAGCCAACCTTTTATGACAGATTTCTATAGAAGAATAAAAAGAAAAAGGATGAACACAAAATACATATGCCAGCTCTACTTCTTCCTCCCAAGATTCAAATTTCAAAGTATGGTCTCAGGCAGAGAAATAATAATCCCAGGTAATCCTATAAGGTGTTGCAAAAACATACAGGTCCATACAGGTCCATTTGTTACTGCCTCCCAAAAGAGTTTCACCTACATTTGTATATGCTTCCCAAAGCCTGTGAAGGCTTGTTAAAACAAAACACACCCAGATAATGACCAGATTTGTTGCAAGAGTGCTTGGTTTAGCTCAAGTCAGTAGGCATGACTAGCAATCTCATTAGTAAGTTTTATTTTATGTTCTGGTCCAATAATAAAGTAAGACCATGAATGTAGCATCATACTTGCATTAACAGGATTAGGTAATCAATGGAGAAATAACAAGGTCCAAATACTAACCGATCCATGCCATTCAGCACGATGCACTGTCCCAAAAGAACCTGCAAGAGGAACAAAAAGTATTTTACCTCCCACAATTGCTTCCAAATAATATTTAAAAACCTCAAGAAAACCTTTCTGGAAATAGATAGTTAGCAAAAAGTACCAACACCAATGCGCTCTTTGATGTGTAAGTCATCCCACGAGATCTCAAGTCTATTTACCAGTAAGGAAGGTGCATTTGGATCCAAAAAGCTCTTGTGTGGATGGTGGCAAGGAAATTGAGAGCTGGGTAGTTGAGAAGCTTCCATGGCTTGATTGGTTTTCTTCTTCTTCTTCAATATCAAGCCAAGAAGAGTACTCTCTGCTCTTCGGCTGCCATTCTCCGAAGAAGTGATGAAAAGGCCTCTGTTTTTCCTCTCTCTCCACTTCCATTGGCTTTCCTGATCTAAAATCACTGCCTAAAACAAAACAATGCTGCTGTTGTTGTTGTTGTTCTCTTGACTTACCACTGTCAGTGAGGCCGTGAAAGTCTTACTGAGAGTAGGCGGTATTAGAAGAACTCGTTGTCAAAGGCGTCCCTAAAGCTTCTAGGAAAGGGGCTCTTGAGTCCACCTCATCTCTCACTCCATGAACATAACTGTTTCAAACAACCAGTCACAAATGCATAGGATTTAACTACACATGTATTACAATTACAGCATACATAAACTATTTTTTCTCAATTTTCTTATGACTAAAAAGATAGTAGCATCCACAATAATAAATACAAGTAGAACATATTGCCAGAGATGGCTCAACCATTATGTTATTTAGGCTGTCACTTAAGGCTCACAAAGAAAATTTCAAAAAATTTCATTGACGAAGGCTCCATCTTTTCAAAAGCTCAGTTAGAAAAAGCCTCATTTTGGTGCTTAGTTGAGGCTTCCAAAAATCTTATGCCGCTACTGCATATACTTTATGTCGGGGTGATAAGAAAATATGATAAAAATCCATTTATGTATAATATTTTTTTTACAATTTCAATTTTAAATATTGTTCGATATATATCAGGATTTTTAGTCTTCTTCTTCTTAAACCAATATAAACATGGTCATGAAAACCATGTATATCAGTTGGTTTGTGATACATATCGATTCATAGTACAACTTATTCAGATGCATCATTTGATTCTCGATATTTATCACTAAATACTTCTATTATAGCTAAACGTTTACTAATATACCAATTCATCTACTGATACCACTAGTCAAAACTTTGATTACAATCAAACCTGTAATCTTTATGTGTCTGAGAGTATGATCCAGAGTCTGAAAATAGATGATGGGTAGTGTTACTCTGAGGTGATAAAAAAAAACAAGGTGGTGTAGAAGAAGATGATGAATGAGGATTGAGAAAGGGGTAGCTTTCAGCAGATAGAAAGTAGGAGATGATAGAGGTGGTGGCAGCAGCACTAGCAGAGTTTGGCTTTGTTGTGGGGGGGGGGGATTGAAGAGGAGTTAGTAGTAGTAGTAGTAGTAGTAATGACTTCCACAGGCTTTCTTGAACCGTGTCTGCCTCTATGCATGTGTCTCTCACCGTACTTGGAGTCTGGATGAGCTTCCTTTGAGCACCTTCATTTCTTCCCATCTGTTCTTCTGCACCTCCCTAGCTCTGGGTCTGCTTTTCTGCCATAACCCATCTCAAAACTTCCCCACCCTACTGCCAAAAAAAATAAGAAAAATGAAAACTAACTCAGACACACACACAAGCATGGTAATTCAGACCCCAGATGTTGATAGCTTAGTTTTCACAATTTTTTTTTTTATTTTTTAATTTTTTTTTAATACCAAATGCAAGTTCTTTTGAAACTTGATTCTCCAATCTAAACAGTTTAACCCCAAGTTATGTCATAAAGTTGTGTTCATTTAGAGTTGAAGTCGTGTTTAACATAACTTTGAAAAGTTATACATTAAATCAGTTGAAGTTGTGTTATCAAAATGCAATTTTAAATTTTTTTCATGACAAATCAAATGAAGTCTTTACATTGAATATTCCTCTCTTGATATTCCGGCAGCACCAACATCCAGACGTTCAGGTGATTCACTTCCTCTACAACCTTGATCACTTGGACTATACATGGTCTCTCTCGGATTTTTATGCAAGCCAATATCCTCCTTTGGATGAACTTGCCCAATGCTTGTAAAAGTTCAGACTCAAAAGTGAATTTGGTGAAATCAGCATCTCTCTGGATCCAGTTAATTTTTTTGCCAGAGCTGCATACTATAAAGAATAGTCAACAAGCTTCTTTAGATGGCCATGAAATCAACAAAACAACTCTAGCACATCCATTTTTCTAGAGTTAATCAATGACTAGTATTCTGGTGTATCCAATAGAATAAAAATTGCAAATATGGAATAGAAAATCTGAGCTATGTGAATTTGCATTAGAAAGCTATAAAAAATTGGAAATATGGAACAGAAAATCCGAGCTATGTTTGGTCCAGGACTTTGTGGATCCTATTTCTATCACTGATGGCATATGCATTCTAATATCCGAGGCATCAGTATCACCCCATACAGAAGACGTTATTGTATAATGTAACAACTTTCAGGTCAGTGATCATCCTCTAATCAACTTATTCAGGATTCTAATGCCATCATGAAACTAGAAGCAAAATCTATTATGGTATATGCTAACACATATATCAGACTTGGTTTTTTTGACCAAGTGTCATGCAGCACTTCAAGGTTAGTGCAACATAAAAATCAAAAAACAAGTAGAAACATCACCTTAGCAATTGTACTTGAATAGTAGTTAATGGAGGATATTGTAAAGCCTAAAAGCCTAGAAAAAAAATATGTTACCTAGGAAGTTTCCCGTCATCCTCAATTTGAACGAGAAAAGAAGACCGATGGTCTGCAACACAGTACTTTCAACCTCGAGCTATTCGGCAAGGCAGACCTATGTAGTCTGCCAATTTCTGCAATTGAAAAGAAATCATCTGTTAGTTTACTGATTTCTTTCCCTCTGCATATTGGGATTATTAGAGGCAATACACTTATGCGAACACGAACAAACAAAAGATTATCCAGCCAGCATCTGAACCGGCTTCAATCTCCCTTCGTCTAAACTGTAGCTAAATATCAACTGCCCAATGGATGGAAAGCCAACAACTTTGGAACATTAGCATGTCTTTCATTTTGAAGATCTTCTAAGCTCAAAATGAGATCACAAGAGCTCATAACATCTTGGAACTTATGGAGCATTAGCATAAAACTCACCATGTCTGAAAACCCATTGGCATTGATCAGCATTTGACATATATGGTTTTAGAACCCATATGAGAATTTTGAAGCAATCACTCCTACCATACTGTGGAAGACCATCCGCAGACTCTCCTAAAATAAAAGAGCGCTTTGTTATGCCATCATTTTGTTTTGGCAATGGAATAACTTGTATAGAGTATCCTCCTCCCACACTTGACTACCACAAGAATCATAGGCCAAAACATGATTAGTAAGCTCTAACCAATAATAAACCCTGTTAATTACAACAGCATACTCGAACAGTCTCATCAAAACGTTTCCATATGATGGCTTGAGATTACACTGCGTCCAACAACCAGTTTCTGAAGAATAAGTATACATTTGCAAAGTCTAACTAAGAGTTGTTGAACTTGGCAACAGAAGGCACCCCAACTTGAACTTGAGTTGCCCCAATTTGCATTTCTGATTACTTTCCTCAACATCAAATCCAATTGCAATGTTTATATACCTATTGTGTCATGGGAAAGGGAACACCATTCCTTTGTGACAGGATTAATTATACGGTAAGCCATGAAATTATGATTATGGTAGAGCACCAAGCCATTGGAAGAACCAACAAAAAAATCATCCTCCCATTGTACGTAGCCAGCCCTGTCAGCAGATGAACTCGAAGACTTTGTATAGCAGCTAACAATAAAGTAGGGATGAATGAATCTTTTACTTCTAATTTATAGAAGCCTAATAGAGATGAAAGTGAATTGCCTGCCACCCTTTATTGAGATTGATAACGCTTGTGAAAATAATGACTTGAAATAACATTACACCAACTTTTGGAAACACACTTCAAATCAAATAACAATTTCACTGGTACCATTGTGGGACCTCAATCAAAATATCACCTGTAAACTGGTTGTCAATGAATTCCTCCACTTCTTCCTCAAAACAAATGTCGTGAATTCAACAATTATAGTTCATGCCTGTTTAATGTCATAGAAACTTATACCATAAAGACAACCTGCTCAAAGAAGAAAGTATATAGGAAATCAAAACAACAGGTGTAGACATAATGATTTACTGAGAGAGAGATAGAGAGAGAGAGAGACAGACTATAGAAAAGCTGTTGCGTAAATGAAGGTTACAAAATAAAAATGCTATTCCTTACAGGAAAATAACAAGCAAGGCAACAGTCTAGCTTTCTTGAGCCAAAGAACATGCAGTGTTAATATTTGACATATTTCAAGTCACAGCATGGCAAAAGATCAGAGAAGAGCGAACCACAAAAAAATATAGGCAGATCGAAAGTAAAAATATTTCCAAATATTCTAATGGGCTATAAATGGTATTGCTCACTACATTGATAATAGGTTAGCAAAACATCACCAAAACAAAAAAAAAAACAAAAACAAAAAGAATCAATGATTAGTTTGAAGGTTTGGACGTGTCATGAGTAGTTCAAAATCCCCCTGTCCTGTGGTCTTGAGTGAGGGTTAGTTTCCTTCATGATTTTGTGGTAATGTTATAAACTAAATGAAATAATACAACATACAAAACAACTACGTGAAGTTGGAGTTGAGATCATGTCAGCATGTTTAAGATGGAATATTAATTGTAGGGATGAGGCAGATTGATGACTTTAAACAAATGAATATCTAGAAGGATTATTTAGTGATAAGGGAAGAGCAAACTATTCTTTCCCTTCTTCTCCCTGTGTTCGTCTTCATAAGACTCCTATGCCAAGAATGCTTGATCACTTTCATTATTCTCCTCAAGTTTCAATTTGTCTTGTTTCAATTCCTTTTCCACAAATGATGGGGTTCAGATGGTAGTGATTTTTCTGTTTCAAGATCTTCTATTTGATTTTTCTTAAAAAATAACACCTCCTTTGTCTAAGAAGGATGGATATAAACAAAGGACATGTAAATGACATGATAACACCTCCTTTATAAATAAATAAATTCTATCTGCTTCACCTTCTTTTGAAGTTCTATTAATTTCAATGTGAAGAATAGCATATGTCATTCTGCTGCACTATCTCGACATTAAAAAGTATTTAGAAGAGCAGATCTACACAAGATGGATGGAATTATCCTTCCAATTATAAATAATAAGGGTTAGTTTCATAAAATACGAATCAAACAAAATGAACTGTGAATCAAACAAAGATATATAATGGAAAGAATAAGAATACAAAGTTATACATCTTGTATTCTAAACTTGGTCCTACCAAAAATAATTTAACATGGAGAAAGAGAAATCCAGGTTTTTTTATTTTTATTTTCCCTCTCCTAAATGAAAAAGATGTATAGTGTATGTCATCACCTTGAAAAGAATAGCGCGATGCCTACACAGTCCTGTAGAGAGGCTGCCAATGGGAAGCACAATGCATTTCTGAAAATCCCTCAATCTCTGGCTAACCAATTTCCAGCGCACGTGCAGATCACCTTGCTCCACTGGAAAAGTGCCCCTTAAATTCCAACACACTCAAACCCGTCTTTACAAGGAAAGAGACAAAGGCTCAAGCAGTAAACCTAAGAAAAATGTTGACACTTACCCCATATATATAGCAACAAGTTTGCCTAGCTTTTCCACCAACACCAAGGTATTTTCTGTTGCAAAATACAGTTCCTGTGCTTTATCTTCTAGCTCCTTAAGACGAGTGTCGCCATATCAGAGAAGAACAAAAAGGTGAAATGAAATGATTTTATTTCCAAAGTACACACAGATGCAAACAAATATACATAGAAACATATAAACAAATTCACATGCCTGTCTTGTTAGGGTTTGGAGAGCAAATGACTGCTCCTGTGAAGCGAGACGGCTTCAGACGTCCTTGCACACCACCGCCAACGACACCATGTTCCGCCGGAAGCACTGTTTCTTCTCACTCAGATCCTTCAAATCGATATTTCTCGGCGCGCAGAATGCTTCGTTCCATGCAATCACCTCATTGTCCATGCGATTGAAGCTTCTCTCCATCGCGATCTTCCACTCCTTCGTACTCGAATCCTTCTTCTCTATCTCTTCCTTTACAAGTTCATGTAATTGATCTCTACACTTCATCGCCACCTACAAAGAAATCAAACACCAATTTTGTTAATGAAAAACAAAATAAAAACTTCATTTTTCAATTTCGGATCTGCGATTTGTGAGAGAGAAATCAAATCTAACAAAATGCAAGAGAGATCAGATCAGATCGAGTTCGGATTTTGATTAGATTAGTTCAACTTTCTTTTTCGATTTTGAATCTACGATTTGTGTGTGTGTGAGAGAGAGAGAGAGAGAGAGAGAGATCGAGTTCGATGAACAGCTAGGGTGAGAGAGATCGATATTAATCGCGTGAGAGAGAGAGATTGTGCTACTTTTGTAATTGGAATGGGGTTAAGTGTCTGTTAAGTTAAATAGACTTGGCTCATTGAGACCATCAACAAGCATCACGCCTTGAAAAACGTGTTGACTATTGAGGTATACATAACGTTTTTTAAAACGTCTTGGTTCAAGCGCCGTTATAGACCACTTTTCTTGCAGTGTTCCCTACTTTGTGTGTTTCATTGAATATAATATTTCTTTCTCATGCAAAAGGATTTATTGTAGGCAAGGCCAGTGTTCAACAAAAAATTGAAAACTATTGTCTAGAAAAGAAGTTTATTGCATTTATATCTGGGATGGGTGTGTAGTGGTGGTAGTTTCATGCATTTATATATGTTTTGCTTCATGCATAAGAGTTGAATTTATTCCTATCTTCTGTTCGTATTTATGCAAAAATTTCTTGAAATACTATGGTTGACTTATGTTATTTTTGTTGCAGATCCTTATTTTTCTGAACGAAGTGGATTATATATTGGCCAAGCAACGAAAACGATGTCAAGAGATGGGATGTTTCGCATTTTACGTGGAATTGTTGTGGATATGAATAACAGAGTATTTGAGCTACCTTCCTTTCATGGTATAATTTTCCCTCCAAAGATGGCGAGCATGTTTGATATTGATTATGATTTTATTGCAAGGAAATGATTTGGTGTGAAATTTAATTATGGAGTTTTAGACTCCCTCACTTTTCAGTGGTTTCTCAACTTGTAATGGTGTTAGGCACATGCATCTGTTTAGCAGTACAAATCCTTTTGTTTATTAGTTCTTGATTTCCCCCTTGTTGGTTATTCACTATAATGTAGTCTCGGTGTTTGTTTCAATGTTACCTGGAAGGTGGATCATTATGGTAGGCAGGATAGGAGCCAAGGATAAAAAATTCGTTTCGGTATTTTGTTTTGGTTAGCATGGAAACAATTTTTTTTTGAAACATTTCGGAACAGAAACATTTCAAGAACATCAGTGAAATGACAAAGGAATTGGAAAATATATGGAAATGTTTGTAAACAAAACAAAAACTTATATAAATGTTAATAAATTTTTAATTGTTAATTACTTGAGCATGTTGAGGTCTAGGAATGAACATGAGATTCTATCTTAGGTTTACGATGCCACCTTCAAGAGACTTTACTTACCAAGCTAGCTGACACCTTCTTTAGGTTGTTATGTTTAGAGTAAATATTATAAACCATTTTGATGTTGTTTCATTTCCATTTTGAGCATCTTGTGTTATTGGGACTATTGCTTACAGTATATAATTCAAGCTTTAATGCTTGCTGTTTACAAAGTACTTATTGTTCTTAATTATCTGTTTCTTGAACTTTTTGGTTTTCAGATGTTCTGGACGGGGAAATATTTCTGCAAAATCTGCCAAGCATTATCACCACACACGCCCTTGGTAATTATCTTAGCATCATAGTTATTCTGACTAATTTATATATATGCTGTGGACGGGAATTCATTTTGCTTTGACCATTTTTATTTCACAGATTTAGGGCATCCTTTTTCCTATTTGACCTGGCATTCATTAACAAAAATTTGCAAATAGTGAGTTTTCAATTTATGTGTTTGCTTTGTTTGATTTTTCTCCAAAGGATTCATGAGTTGTATCATCTTTTTTGTTATTCCCTTGCAGAAGGAAGGTCTGATATGTTCAGATGTAGGACTTGAACACTTGGGCATGGAAGTAAGTGGCAAAAATTGTAATGCATAAATGTCAAGCATGGTATGGAGTGATTGTTCGGTGATTTTGGAGAATTACTTCACGCTGTTTATCCTTTGACACTTGGCAAGTTATCTCTCAAAATTTTGACTCGCAACTTTAACTCGTAAATATGGCTTGGAAATTGATGTATTAAATTCAAGTTGTCTCTCGAAAATTTTATAAATGTATAAAATATTCGGGACTGTTTTTTTCATCTATGTGGTCAATAGTGCCTCACTTACTATATAGCGATCCCAGGTTTACCCTTGTTGTATAGTGATCCGGACATGTGTCCGTGGATGTTGGTAGTTGTTTATTATCTTGTTTACATCCTTTCTTTTATTTTATATTTTTAGTAAGTACTTTTAATTTGTACAAAAAATTAAAAATTTTAATATAAAAATACATTATTTTTTTTGTGTTAGAGAAATAAACACAAAACATATTTTTTAAAATTCTAAAATATTACTTTTGTTGTAAAAAGAGAAAATCATGTCCAAATGATAACTTTTTTTTTTTTTTCTACTTTTTTCACCAAACTAGTTTCGATTTCTTTTATTTTTTTCGACAAGAAATTATGAAAGGAAAAAGTCAATAAATAAAAAATAAAAGACTTTAAATTGGACTTGAACACATACTCAAACCGGACGTGCATTGCACATAGATTGTACTATACTGGCACACATGCCCATGTACGAGTTGCACCACATCCAAAGCAGAAATTCTTGGGTGAATTATCTTGCTCTTTGTGATTATACTGATGGTCGAAAAGGCGAAGTTGAACAACCTCTGCTGCGGACGACGGATTCTATCATCGACGATGACTTTCTTCTCCCCCGTCTATTTTACCTTTATTTTTCATTTTTTGTACCTCACCTCAATTTCATCACACTCATTAAAAAAAAAAAAATCAACTTTTTTTCAATTCAAATCAGCTTTGCTTAGGGGTTTCTTTATTCACTTTTTAATTTTCAATTTAATTAAATGCTAGGAAAGATCGAACATGTGCTTGAAAGCTTACGCGGTTGGCAATCTGGGCTTGTGCCAGTTTAATTTTGGACATCCAAAATATTGAACGACCGGTATTCTCTTAAATCTCAAAATTTGCCCTTTTTTCTTGTAACATATGATAATACACTTTGTGAGTACCGGAGGATCTCTAGCGATCGTGACATTAACTTGCATGGAAAGTGTGAAGAACATGCCTCGCCCCCCGGCAGTGTATTCTATAGTCAAAAACCCTCGATTTGGTCTAAGAATGATTTAGCTTCTTTGTCTTTTCCTATAAATTTGCTTGGGTATGAACCCCCTTCGTATGTTATTCCCCAAAAAAAAAAAAAAACCTTTTGTATCACAATTGTGTCGGTATACTTGAAATAATATCCAACACCAAAGAGCTATGTCTACAATTTTTCAAGGAAGTTCGTGTTTGTGACCTCTTTTAGGTTTGTCGCCAACCCCACCCATATCTTAGACATATTCAATTTCATGTCAAAAAAATTAGTATTTTCTTCTATTAGAAATTGTTGTCAACATTTTTAAGTTTTCAAAGGATTCATGAGTTGTATCATTTTTTTTTATAATTCCCTTGTAGAAGGAAGGTCTGATATGTTCAAATGTAGGACTTGACCACTTGGCATGAAAGTAAGTGGCAAAAATTGTAATTCATAAATGTCAAGCATGGTATGGAGTGATTGTTTTGTGATTTTGGAGAATTACTCCACGCTGTTTATCCTTTGACACTTGGCAAGTTGTCTCTCAAAATTTTAACTTGCAACTTTAACTCATAAATATGGCTTAAAAATTGATGTATTAAATTCAAGTTGTCTGTCAAAAATTTTATAAATGTATAAAATATTAGGGACTGTTATTTTCGTCTATGTGGTCAATAGTGCCTCACTTACTAACAACTTATATCTTAGACATGTTCAATTTCATATTTGTTCTAAAAAATTTGTACTAAATCATTATTTTATATTTTTAGTAAGTACTTTTAATTTGTACAAAAATATAAAAATTTTAATATAAAAATACATTATTTTTTCTGTGTTAGGCAAATAAACACATAAAATATTGTTTTAAATTCTAAAAGATTACTTTTGTACTAAAAAGAGAAAATCATGTCCAAATGATAACTTTTTTTTTTCTACTATATTCACCAAAGTAGTTTCGATTTCTTTTATTTATTTTGACTAGAAATTATAAAAAAGAAAAGTCAATAAATTAAAAATAAAACACTTTAATTTGGACATGAACCCATACTCAAATTGGACGCGCATTGCCCATAGATTGTACTATACTTGCACAGATGCCCATGTATGAGTTGCACCCCGTCCAAGGCAGAAACTCTTGGGTGAATTATCTTGCTCTTTGTGATTATACCGATGGCCAAGAAGGCGAAGTTGAACAACCTCTGCTGAGGACGATGGATTCTATCCTTGACGTTGACTTTCTTCTCCTCCTTCTATTTTACCTTTATTTTTCATTTTTCATACCTCACCTCAATTTCATCAAACTCATTAAAAAAAAAATTCTTCTTTTTTTCAATTTAGTTTAGCTTTGCTTAGGGGTTTCTTTATTCACTTTTTCATTTTCAAATTAATT